ATTAGAGAAGCTTTAACATGCTAATTATAACAATTGGTAGTTGATTAATGACTTTGATGTTAATCAGATTTGCCATTGAATAATTTGACTCTCATCAAGTCTCCTCTTCTTCCATTCATATTGTACCATCTGTTTTTGCAAGTCTGGTTTATATCGATTCTTTTGGCTCCTATTTGAAAGTTTGTATAGCTCCATTCTTCTAAAACAAACAAATTATTCTGGAGCTTAATTCACTAGGACTCTCAATAAACAATCTTCTTTTTTAGAAAAAGCAATATCCTGCAGCGACTCCCAATGCACTTACATACACACACGCACACAGATGCGCCCTATTTTACACAAATTCATATATATGCACCCCTACACACACACACACACACACACACACACACACACACACACACACACACACACACACACACACACACGCTGCATTTTATGAGCTTGTGTTTATCCTGTGGTCAGCCGAGGCTCTTTTTAATGTCCGTGAAGCCCAGCGGTGCTGCTATTAGCTATAAAGGCCGGCATCACAAGAGCACGCATTCATACGCACAACACACACACATACACACCCCATAAAGGTAGCATTATGAATGTGCGCTGTGGATTAAATGGGCTCTTTTAGGGACTGCAATGTGGACAACGCAGGGACAGTGTTGGGGTTGTAAAGATGAGAATATGGGGCCCAAGCCTGAGCTGACCCCTGAGCTGAGGTTCATGCTCTGTGCTTTTCAGATCAGATTGATATCCCTCCAAAAAACCTGTGTTTCCAGTATCAACTACTAACTTTGTTATGGAAGGTGCTGTGAAAAGATTTGCATCGTGTTTTCTTATGGAGGACACTAGTTTCACAGCATAAAGAAACAGTATGAAATTATCCATAGAAACATTTAAAACATCTATTGTCACTGCAGTATGATTCCTGCGTAATTGTGTTGCCAAATAAAATTGTCTGGAAAGTATGTACAAAATTCCAAAGGACGAAGTTTAAATGTAGTTACTTGATTAACGTGTAATTGTTTATCTATTGTGCAATTGGATCAATGTTGGGATTCATTGGTATCCATAAGTTAAAGGTGGGTAGGTAATTTTGGAGAAACCAGCTCGAGTGCAACTAGAATTTGAAAATACACAGCCGGAAAAAATCTGCCACTTCCTTACAGAGCCCCTCCTCCAACACACACGAACGCGCACAATGACCAATGAGGGCACGAGATAAGTTTGTGCACAGATGGGAAGGCTGACAGGCAGGTAGGCCATCCAGTTATTTTAGCCGGGCCGGCTAAAATGATGGTCGTACTTTTACAGTACTACGGCTTCCACAGATTACATTTTTTTATGGATTTTTTGTCAAAGCACTTAAGATATTCATTGCTATCGGGATGTTAAGAGCATTCCATGGAACATAACAAAAAGTATATCTCGAGCCGGTTTATTTAAGAGGCCCTGTTATGCTTTTTGGGGGTTTTCCCTTTCCTGTACTGGGTTATATAGGTTTTGGTGCATGTAAATGGTCTGCAAAGGCTAAAATCCCAAAGTGTATCTCTTAATAGGGCCCCTTTAAAAGGATACCAGTGCATAAATAATGGTTACAACAAAAAGTTCAGTCTTAAGTAGAGATGTAAAGTGAAGTGTGCCTGTGTGGTGTGGTGTGTGTGTGTGTGTGTGTGTGTGTGTGTGTGTGTGTGTGTGTGTGGTGTGTGGTGTGTGTGTGTGTGTGTTGTATTGTGTGTTGTGTTGTGTTGGTGTGTGTGTGTGTGTTGTGTGTGTGTGTGTGTGTGTAGATTGCAGATAAATGGCAGTAAAGAAAGGATTGCTTGTGAATGACTGCTAATAGTTCACAGATGAAAGAGTCAGATCGGAAATTCAAAGGTAGCCAAGCAACAGGGGAATGCGAACACTTGCTCTTCCTCTCCCTTCCGCCTCTCCTTTTGGCTTTCAAACCCTCCCATACAACACACACACACAACACACACACACACACACACACACACCACACACACCACACACACACACAACACACACACCACAGCCACCACACACACACACACACACACACACACACACACAAACACACACAAAAACACACACACCAGGCAGGACTCCATCATCATTAACCAGAGCAAAAGGAACACAATGTTAAGCTCCTCTCTGCGGTCGCGTCCACTGGGTCAGGGCTAAAATAGAAGCTGGCCGCAGACTCAGACGATGGCACCGTGCGGGGGAATGGAGGGAGGAGAGGAGAGAGAAAGAAAAACCAAGTAAGACAGAAGAGGAGGAGGAGGAAGAGAGGTAGGAAAAACTGAAAGAATCTCTCGATTGATGTTGGTGTGTGAGAACGGGGCGTGTCGGGCTGCGTACTTGCCCCCAGACTGCTGCAGTAGTTGTTGGCGAGGTATTTTAATAGGCCTCTGTCTCTATAAAGCTGCCTTTGATCATGCACTCAGGCTGCACGTGGATGTAGACTGTGCCGGAAACAGACACCTGGTCACACTCTAAAGCCTGTCTGTCTGCCTCTGTGTCATTACAATGTTGTCCGAAGGGTTTGGTCTTGGCTCTTTGAATTCCAATATCAAGAATGACTCTGAAAGTTGACTTACACAGCTTATCAAATGTGGAAGTTAACAACCTCAAAGATGTTTGGATTATTGAAAAGTATATAGCTCCCTTTCATATGAGTGTTGAGAGCTGTATCCATACATTCATTTTGTGCTCAAAGTGCACCAGATTGATGCATTTCACTTCAACATTTAAAAAAATATCTTTCCGGGGGTGCATGCCCCCGGACCCCCCTAGAGGATGTGAGGTCCACCCCCAAATAAAGCAGGTTAAAATAATTAAATTGCATACATTTTCTTTTAGTAAACACTGAAAACGGGTCCCACAGACCCAAACAGCACACAAAGGTTAAAGGAGAGCATATAATAATGTTAAAATGTGCTAAATATATACACTGCAAAAAACAAAAAAAAGAAGCTCACGACTAAGTAAAAGTAAAAGTAGCTCACGATTTGTTTTATTTTTTTAAAGTAGCTCTCATCCTAAAAAAGGTTGGTGACCCCTGCCCTAGATGCATCAGTCCCACTTCTGTGCAGTCGGTATGTGAGTTGTTAATCGCTCTGTTATTTTATTTACTCCGCGTGGAACCTCAAATTGTTTTATACATTAAACCACATTACCAGTGGTGAATTGACACATCATCGCAAATTGCGAGTCGTTGGTAAAAACAACAAAAAAGCAGTTGATTTAAGACCTTTGCAACTCAACTCATCATAGATTGACTGTGCAGTTCATGCTACAGGTGTTAAATGAGGAAACGCAGCCGTTTGTTTTGTACTTATGCAAACATTGTTGTGCTACTTCCGAGCTGGTTTGTGGTCTGATTCCTGAATCCTTCTGCCCACAGGAAGTTTCCTTAAGCAAGACACTGAACCATATTGCTCCCAATGCATGTAAACAACTAAATGTAAAGGAAGCACTATAGCCAAAGCATCTTCCAAATCAATGTAACGCAAGGATCAGACATTATTCACACAACCGCAAGGGGTATTTGAGAAAACATGTTGTAACGACGACCTGTCTAGATACTGATTTAACTCCAAAAACTCCCCTAACTCAAGGCAGCTATTGGTTTGTCTTAATTTCTGTACGTTATGAAAATGAAAGGCACCCAATCAACTAGCTTGAACTGATCCATCGCATTGACCAATAAGTCTGCATTAGTTCTGGTCAGTGTTAGAAAGTTATTGCATGGTAATGCATATTATGTTAAGATCCCTCCACTGCTTTACCTCACAGCAATTATGTAACGTGGACAAAGGGCAGAGTAGTGTGAGCATTCAGAACAACTCAAGCCAGTTTCAAGAGTCTGCTAATTGATTGTCAAACAGAAATGAATGGCTGCTTGTTAGGGCAAGTGGTTTTTAGTACATTGGCTTGAATGGGTCCTTTATACCTCAAAGTAAGCACTTAAACCCCATAGCCATTGTTGCGATTGAAATGCAGTGCTGTTGTTTACAGAGCCAAACAAACAGTATATACTGTATAAACACTTGGACTGCCCCCTGTGGGACATGTGATATTACTGCACACTTGTATGTGCTCCTGGGGGGTATGTATACATACAGTAGATACAACTGTTGTTTGTGTGCGCCGACATGTTTGCTGATGTGTGTTTATGCGTGCACATGCACCCGCGCTCGTGCACGTGCAGCCAATAATCAGCACCAGATGATGTTGAGTGTCTGCCAGTTTCCCAGAATAGCAGCGATGGTTTTCTTGCAGCCGTCCGACTGGCCTTGGCAAATATTTTAGCAACTCCTTGTTTACCTTCACACTCTTTCACTCTCACTCACTGAGTGCGTTCCTCATTGCCCCGTGCCGCTCTATCGAAAAGAATCTGCTTTTTCATCGTTTACCCCCACTGGTCAGAAGCACATGGGCCTGATAAATAAACAACTCACAGAGGGGACAAAGTTGCCCCACGTGGACGCCTAGCAGAGGCTCTATCACTTCATATCTTGATATATGTATTACCATATTTTACATTATGAGCAGCTGCATCACCTGGACTTTATAGTTCCTGCACATAAAAGCTGGGAGGCAGCTCCAGACAGCAGGGCATTCCTCACCATGATCGATGAGATCTCTACTTATTAAAGTTCTGCTGAGGCACAACTTGGCCCCTTGACAAGCATCCAAAACCTTAACAGCCAACACAGAGAGAGATAGAGTCTTATTATAGTAGCCACGTTGATAAAGCTGTGTCAGGGTAATTCCTCACCTTTGAAACGCTAATCTGTTTTCACAATGTGTCTCAAAGTGATAAGTCCTCTTCTTCTTGCCAGTTCTTTCTCTCCCTGCACTCTCAAAACTAAAGATCAAAGTAATGTTTGTCCATGCCGGTGCCAGCTGTGTGTGCAAACCTTCTTGTTGAAGGCTGCACACGAGTAAAAGCAAACAAGAAGCGCTAATTCTTCTCCCTCCTCTTTATTTTGCAGTGCCGTCCATCCAAAGGCAGGAGGCGGGGCTACTGCTGGTGCGTGGACAAATACGGGCAGCCTCTTCCTGGCTACGATGGCAGGGAGCGGGGCGAGACGCAGTGCTACAACCTGGAGAGCAAGTGAGAGGACGGAGGGACGACGAGTGGACGACGAGAGAAAGACAGAGAACAAGCAGGGGGGGGGGGGAGAAAGAGCCTAGTTTGCTCTTGCATGTAGTTTTATGTAAACATTTGGAAGGGGGCTCTGGACCTTTTTTTGATTTTAGGTCCCATTTCTGTCAGAGAGTTCGGGGGAGGGGGAAAGGGTGGAGCACAAGCCTTCTGTCCATCACAGCTATCTGTCCTGTGCTTTTTAAGGAACCTTCATTTTTTTCTCTAAAGCAAAAAAGCTGAGAGAGTAGGGGGAGAAAGAGAGAATCCTACCATCTGCACTATTCTTTTAGAGAGAGAGGAAGGAGGGACTTTTCCACTCACTTTAAAGAGGACTTGTTTGTGACCCAAAAAAAAAAGAATTGACAAACTATTGTGTGTCTGTGAGCGTGAGTCAGTGTGTGTCTTAATGTGTGAGCACCTGCATAACATACGTGTGCACAGCTGCATGTCTGTGGCGTGTGAGTATGCTCGTTCCCAAAAGTGTTTTATTTCTGTAAATACCGTATGTCACTACGATCCGTCTCGAGATCCTAGCCCCCAATGCTCCATTATACACTGCAGAAGGAAAAAAAACGCTCTCTGGCTCAGGGTCCATTTTGAAGTGAAGGATTATGGGATGGGAGGGCTTTGGCTTCTTATCTAGCAGCGAGGGCCCTTCTTGTTGCCTTTGACTTGCCCTGCTATTGGGAAGAGAATACAGGCAAACCATGCAGTTACAGTGCCTTGCAAACTGACCTTCCCATGCCTCCCCTCCCCTTCACCCTGTAGTCCTCCAATAAAGGAACACTTCACTGAACATCTACCTTTTGAGTATCAAATACTCCTTCACCACAGGATAACAGCAGATTGTATGGATGATCCTATATGAAGAAATCAGTAGAAAGAATCTGGAACATACTGAGGGATCCCATCAACAAGTGGATTAAGATGCAAAATGTGCCAAAATATAAGCCCGGTTACAGACATCTCTGATATTCTTTTGGTTAGATTCCCAGATAAGGTCTGTGGCCTACAAATACACGAGATCACTCGAGTATTTAAAACTAAAAGGATAGATTGTTGGTGAAGTGTTCACATGCCGCCCTGCAGGGATCAGTCTCATGTCTCTTTCCCATTGTTCCTCTAACCTTGTGTCCCGTGTTCTTCCTCGTCCTTGTCCCGTGTCCATCATTCAGCTACGGTGCTGAGTTCCTCCCATCATAGATGTCTTTACCCCCATATAAAACATTGTCCTTGTCTGTGTGCCTGATCCCTTCTCCAACCCCACTATCCCGAGCTGTTAGTCCCCACTCCATCCCCCTGCCCCGCCTCTTCCTGTCAGTGGTGCATCCTGGTGTAGTCTTGTTTAAACGGGGCGAGCCCGGTGTGACCAGCCCGCCCCCCGCAGGTGCCAGCTGCCCCTATGCTTCAAGCACAAGCACTTAAAGCACTTTAGCTGTGCCGCTACTCGTCAATGCATGCAGTTAAAGACAATTGGACCTATCTGCATCTGCATACCTTTCCTTCGAGGTAATGTCAGATGAATAAGTGTGATACTGTAAGAAAACAATAATAACCCAGGGAGGAAGGGGGGGGGGAATAAGAAAAAAAAAGCTACACCAGGACTTCTGACAACAGAGTTTTTTCCATTCAATGCAACTATTTTTTTTTGTTGTTGTTGTTTTTGTTTCTTTGGGGAAAAAAAAACATGCTTGTATGATCGTATGCCAACAAATCTCCACAAGGTGGACACAGCACCAAATATGCATTCACACAAGTGGTAGGGGGTCTGAGGGAGGAGGCAGGGTCCTCCCCGAGGAGCTTCCTGCATGATGCTCTCCCACATCCTGTGTAAAGACTTGAAAAGTGGAGAGAGTGCCGACAAAGAATGCTCGCCCAGTAGCTTGGTAGCATTACATCGGCCGTACACCTCCTTTAATAGAGCGCAGCAACTTAACAACCAACTGTTGGGGCTATATCCCACCTCTTCAAAGACTTGATGTAGGGGAGGAACATACATACAAATATGTTTAAGCTATTCCCTCCCTAATATTTGTAAGTCTGTCTTTTTATATATTATTATTATTATTATTTCTTGGCCAGCTAATGTGTCTGACTAGACATCATGTACAGTACTTAAAAATACAAATTATTTATCTAAGAAAGAATTATAAGCTGATCCAAACTAGGTTTTCTTATGAACAATTCAGTGACTCACCGATTGCACAGCAAAGTCTATTTGATTCAGTGTATTTTGGGGAATATAATCACTAATGAATGTTTTATTTTGTAATGAACCGTTTTTCCTTCTGTTGCTCAGCAGGGTCATTTGTAAGCTCTGTGCCCAGCAGGCGAGTTTCAGCCACAGGCAGAATCTGTTCAGGCACTCAGGTCTCTGGTCATCTTAGTTCACGGCTTCTTTAGGCCAGTGAACCTCTCACCTCTCCGTCAGTCACTTCTCTCCATGCACACCCAGCCATCCCGCCTCAGTCTGTCAGAGCCAGGCTCACACTTCTGTAACGTCACTTTCTTTATAATCATTTATTTTCTCCCTGCTGGTCACGTTAAGAATCTCTCTGTTCACGGGTAAATGTAATTTTTTTTGTTTTTCATTTCAAGTTTATCCTTCAAAGAGTTTTTTTTATTCAAGCTTTTCATGATACTAAACTAGAAATCACACAGCTATTGTTTTCTGAGAAAGAAAATGATTTTGATTCAGATATAATTTGTATTTAATGTCTTTTTTTAAATAAAAAGTGAACACATTTTAAGATGCCGTCTCAGATGTTTGTTTTTGTCCTTGCATGACTTGTTTAATCTCTAAAAGGGTCGATCATCAGAACTCAAATGTGCTCCTGTTGAAGTCCTTGAATGCAATCAGTCTTGGAATGTGTCAATAAGGATAAAGCAGAGGTTCAATTTGTAAAAAATAAAAATAAATCTGGTGGTGCCATGCAGGCTGGCAGTGGGAACGAGAGGTTGAGACGAATTCCTGTGCCCGACCAAGGCAAACAGAGAGCGGGTCAAAAGGCAGCGCGGTGCTGCATGTCCCCACGAACTGCCTAAAGTTAGACAAAGACCTCCACTTTAGATCCCTGTGATAACACTACACAAAAACACACCCAATATAGAAAGATGTGGTGCATGGGTGCATCTGAACGCAGACTTTCATAATCATGTCCTGATGGAACTATTGTGATGTTTATGTTTTTGCCACTTATGGATGTTTGTGCAACCTGCCTGAGGTGAAAGAGAGGCCAGAGAGCACATAGCTGAGGTTAATGTTTTTATTAAATATATCACCTTTTTTTCTTCTTACATTACATCTCAATTACAAAAGTGTACATACACCTGTGTGAGCAGTTAGTCACTTTGGAATAGACTCACATAAACAATAATTATCTCTCCAACAGCAGCATGTAGGTCGAGCGGACGCGCTCTTTGTGGTCATGTGTTCTTGGTCAGAGAGAACAGCGACATGAAAAGTAAAATAGCAAGTCTTTTTTTGACATATACATCAACACAACTGACAGCAGACACATAAATATTGGAGGTAGGTTAATGTAGAAATACCCGTGTGAGAGGCGGCGCATGGGTGGCACCGCCTGTCGTGCTAACTGTAACCCCATGGAACCATGGGAAATGTTTTCTGAGTACTGTTTAAGGACTGAGAGTTTTGCATTCACTTACAAGAGCTGATCGTGTGTCACATAAGAAAATAAAAAACACAATAATAACAACAAAAAAGTCCATAACAATGGCAACAATGTGAAAATGAATCATAAAAACAACATTTAGAAATACTTCTAAATGACTTTTGGTCACTCAGTGCTTTTGTTCTTGCTTGGTTTGTCACAAACCAAACTTCCAGACAACTCCTTTAAGGGTAGAGCGAGCTCAACTCAGCAGTGGAGTTCCTCAGGGACAAGATACATATATACACTTTATACACCCATAAAAATAATAATATAATAATAACAATAAGGCAAGAAAAATGATATAAATACTCATAAAATAATTACAAATAACAAATGAAATAATGTTGAAATAAATAAGGCTAAAGAGTAGAAGTAAATGCAACAATATTAAAATCTTTCAGAAAACAAAAATAGATTTTCTTTTTCTCTTTTGGACGGGTGTTTGAAGAGGAGGGAGGGGGAGGGGGTTTTGGGTGGCTTGGACCCAGAAACCCCACAATGACAGTGTACCTGAATTAAACACCACCATGGACAGGATCAATAAATAAACAGCTATCAAAAAAATAGAAAGAAAATCAGTGGCTTGCTTCTTCTTTTTTGTTTGTGAGATCTTCATCAGAGGGTGATCTCTTTAAGGGCACTCGGCTTCTGCAGGCAGGTCGGTGGAACCTAAAATCTTCTTTCCGTTCCAGGAGCTCACACACCAGCATCGACCCCTCTGTCCGTCAAGAGAGGATTCACACTGCAGGAGAAACACAAAATCATTTTTTAATTCAACTGCCCATGTTTCACACACATGTACAGTCATGCAACTGGGTGACATCACACTCCAACAAAACACACATTGTGGAGGTGCCAAACAAATCCCTACCTGCATCACACACACATTTTTTAAACTGTGGTTGACATAATATTGGCTCACATGCAACTTAGTGCTGTCATGGAGTCATACACACACTCAGAGCACATTTTGCTGAATGTACCAACCTGTTTGGGTTTGTAGAGCCCGTGTTTGTCACAGTTGGGGAGGTAGAATCTGGTTAATTTGTCTCCTAACTTCTGCTGGGATTTGGCAATTTTATCCAAGGCTCTCTGCAGCTCAACATGACAGGGCCCCTGTGGAGATGACACAGGCAAGGGAAGGGTTAACTGAGTGCCAACATAGAAATAATACTGCTTTATTATCAGCAAGCACGTGGGCTGACATCAATATAAAACTTGTAATAACATGCACCCTCCCCCTCTCTCTCTACACCATCTCCTCAAATAGCACACGAGCTCCCCCTTGTGGTGCACGAGTCATTTCCCCCCTTTAAACCTCCCAAAAAACTTTTAGCAACATATTGCACTCAGGGGAATCTCACATAATTCACACAATGGTACTGGTGCAGGGTTCTGGCTCTCACCTGTTCCACCAGTTTCTTGCGGATGGCTACGAGTTTGGCTTTCATGCTCTCCTGAGCGTCGGCAGCAACCCTCGGGTCGAAGGGCTTACTGTGGCCGGGGAGGTAGTGGCTGGAGCCGGGGTCCGAGACGATGGCTGCGTTGTCCATCTCTGCCTCTGGCTCTCCCTGATCTGAGGAAGAAAATAGAATAAATTAAGCGGCACTGACTGGATGTAACTGTTATCAGACTTTGGGGATTGTGAGAATGAGGATTTTGATGTGGTGCTGGATAGGCCTACCTTGTGTCTGGGGCTCGGGGATCGGCTCCTGCTCAGTGCTCTCCGTACACACGGCTTGTCCCCGGGTGAGGGAGTGCAGCGGCCGGGGGTCGCCGGGTCTCGGGGTGCACCTCAGTCCGGAGCCGCACGGCGCCGTGTAGATCCCGCACAGCTCCTCAGCCTTCAGGGCGCAGGCGAGGCAGCATCCACAGCCGGGTTCCCGCAACACCTCGGCGCATCCGGGCGCCACCGCTGGACACTGGATCAGCTTCTCCGGAGAACACGGGGCGCATCGGATCGGCTCTGGCCCCACCACCGGGGACCCCAGCGTCCCTGTGGCCAGCACGGAGCACAGCGCTGCCACCACGACGTGCTTCAAATATAATCCACCCATGGTCAACACAGTGAGCTGGATATTAAATATAGAATATAAAAATGTAGAGCAAGGTAGAGAGGTTGAATCAAAGGTAAAGAAGCCGGATTCCCACGGTTCTTGCTCAGTTGCGTCTTGCGTTTGATTTTGGGAAAATGTCTAACTGTGCGTTGCGCGCAGCCGTATTTATAGCCGGGTGAGTGTTTGACGCATCCGCGTTATGAATGATTTCTGAAAAGAAGGTGTGATGATACGATGGGCTGTGATTGGCCCGCCTATGTCCGTTTGTGCAGCTCATTTGAATACAACACTCACGTCAATATTTATTTTGGAATAGGCAGTGCTTGCACGTATCGCAGGCGAGTGACGACACCACTGTTTGATGTTGCAGTCAAGGACCCCCTTTTCTCACCCGGGTGATACCCCAAACTACTTTACCCCTCTCTGCCAGTTTACAGTAACAACTCAGCAGGCACTTTCTTTCTGTTTGTTTTCAGCAGTGGCAACGGGAATACGTGCACACAGTTTCACTCGGGGGTTTATTCGATAACAGAGGTGAAGCAGGTCCTTGTTTTCCCTGCGGACACAAACGAGCTCCTCTCTTTAGGAACAACGTTATCCATTCATGGCGGGTTTGTTCTGCCCGAACTTCTTACACAACTTTGGGGAAAACAAGTAATGAGCGCAAATTACGCACACCCACGCTGAGAGCCCGCTGAGAGCGCCCTCTAAATGCATTCGTGCATTACAGAGGGAATTATGAAACCAACTTTCTAAGAAAAAACTGCATAAATGAGGGTCGCGACTCACTAGGGACTCTGTGGTAGGCCTATGTGACCCCTCTCTGTCCCACGCGTGCGCGCTCGGTCAGAAGCCGGCTTTGGACTCAGTCCAGGAGATGTCCCGTTGTAATTACCCGTTTCCTGGGATAATAATAGACCAGAGCTATGAATGGGGGCTGCG